TACTGGAATATGGGACCGAATGTTATCTGAAACAGAGTTATATTCAACTTTGCTGTGATAATGCAGAAATAACGGATCCCTCCTCTGCAGAAATTTGACCATTTTGTTCATTTCATACAATTCGACTTCAATAGATTTTTTGTGGTTCACAAAAGTCACCAACTTATTTTTCAGTTTTTTATTTGAACATAGAGCGTTTCTTCCTGTCCTGAAACCGACTGAAGGGAAGCAGTGGCTCCACATCCTGTCATCCTGCTGAATCGGCCTTTAGTTGGAAAATGAACATCAGTCCTGATGCAGCAGCAGCTCCTTTAACAGTCGGCTGAAAGTTTGAGTGTTAAACCGTTAACCTGCCTCTGGGCCAAAAGTCCGATCCATTTAGCTGCTTCTGTAAGTTAGAGAGTTTAGATTGTTTTTGTTTGTTCACTTCCACCAGGATGTTTGATGATGTCTTTTTATAAAGGCGTAAAGTTTCCTTTGGAGAAATTTGCAGGAATCTTGTTCAGAGAGAAAAAACCTAATAAACCCCAAACTCAGAGGTAGGGGGGTCATTTCCCATCAGAAGGAAAAAGAATTAAAACCTGTTTTTCTTTTTTTTTTATATTTTTCCTGAACTGGAAAACAAAATGTTTCAGTACAGAAAGTGATTTTTAGTGGGATGAGTGAAGCTTGTTGAAAACGGACGCCCATCCAGGGTGGGTCTGGACCCCCTGGGACATCCAGCTGCACATGACGGCACCATCCAGGAATCCTGCTGTTAACGGAGCCTAATGAGCCGATCTGGAAGCAGTTTGTGGAGCTGAACTCCGAGGGCAGATCAAGAACAGACACAGAACCGGCTGATTGATGGGAGTGAAAACTGACTGATGGGAGTAAAAACTGACTGATGGGAGTGAAAACTGATTGATGGGAGTAAAAACTGACTGATGGGAGTGAAAACTGACTGATGGGAGTGAAAACTGATTGATGGGAGTGAAAACTGACTGATGGGAGTGAAAACTGATTGATGGGAGTGAAAACTGATTGATGGGAGTGAAAACTGACTGATGGGAGTGAAAACTGATTGATGGGAGTAAAAACTGATTGATGGGAGTGAAAACTGATTGATGGGAGTAAAAACTGACTGATGGGAGTGAAAACTGATTGATGGGAGTAAAAACTGATTGATGGGAGTGAAAACTGACTGATGGGAGTAAAAACTGACTGATGGGAGTGAAAACTGATTGATGGGAGTAAAAACTGATTGATGGGAGTGAAAACTGACTGATGGGAGTAAAAACTGACTGATGGGAGTAAAAACTGATTGATGGGAGTGAAAACTGACTGATGGGAGTAAAAACTGATTGATGGGAGGGACTGGGGGTTTTAGTTTTTCCGGATCTGAAGGCCTCACTGCTTCCGTCACACACTGAGATCAGGCTGCAGGAGCAGCAGAGGATCAGAGGCCCAGAAGGTTCTCCAGACGAGACCGAAGAACCACAGTGATGGTGGAGAGCTGCAGCCGCCGCTGGCCTGGGGCAGGTCGCCACCGGGCCCTCTGACCACCATCAGAGCTGAGGGGGCCACTGTCGCTCCTATATCCAGTTCATCTGTTTGGATGAAACACTTTTTTTAGCCAGAGATTGTCCAGAAGTCGTGATCTTTGTCTGTTTTCTGTCCGTTTCTGCGGCCAAATGTTCTCACAGCATTAGATTAGTTTATCTTTGAACTTTATCGGCTTAAGTTCAGGCCAGGAACGGATTCCTTCTAAGGTTTATCTTAACTTCTCTTGTTAAAACATATTTTATTGAATCAGATATATTTTAATTTGTGAATCTTGTCTCTGGAAATTAATCTTAAGATTAAATCTATAAATATATTTAAAAACTCAAACTGGACGTTATAGTTAATAACTAGGTCACTCAAATCGAGGTTAAAAACTATTGATGGTATTAGTTAAATGATTATAGCTGTAGTTTTCTCGCTCCCCAACGTTTTTTGGTCTTTTACCTAAAGGTTGGACTCCTGGACCGACTGTTTAAATCCAGTTATCTTTCAGTAATGAGACTCTGGCTGTCAGCAGAGTTATTAATCACCAACCTAAAGAAATTAACCAAAAAGGGTGAATCTGTTCTGAGTGATAAATCATTCACAATATCGATAATCACAGACGACCACGGGTTCAAATATTAGTTCTTTTATTGTCTTATAATCCCTATTAAAGTATGATAATATCTAACAGCTTTGCAAACACTAGAAGGGTTTAAGAGTTAACTCAAAGAGTTTCTAATGAATGTTTTCAGTGGTACAAAAACAAAGTTAAACTTTTCCCATTTTCAGCATGGTCATACGACGTTATTCCACCAAAGTTAGATTCATAACCTCAACGCTGTTCATCCCTCAGCTTCTAGAAACAGAAATGTAGATCAGTCCAACAGCAGGCGGGGAGATCAGGGTATTTACAACACTAAGCGCTGCTCCTCCTGGGAAATCCTGTTTTCCTTCAGCTTTTGTCCACTGGGGGAGCCAAAATCAACCTAAACTGAGAGTTCTTTAGAGGAGTGAATGTTAGATATAAATATCTGCTAAAATCAGTGGAAGTTGGAACGTTGAACCCCTGTTGGCGCCGTGGCGTTCAAACTGAACGTGGCGGTTCAGTCTGGTTCTGTTTGGGACGTACCGATTCAGAGGTCTGACATTTCTGCTGTTCACCGTAAGCAGCTCTGGATTCCTGACTAACAGCCTGATAATTTCCCACCTTAATCCTAAAACATCAGAGAAATGAACCTAAAGCACCTGGAGCTTCAGACTGCAGCAGCTTAGCCTCTTTGCTTTGCTTTTCTGGTTAGGCTTTCTTCTTCTGCAGGGTTTGATAGTGAGAGTTTTATTTAACTCCTCCTCCTTTAACCCCTAAAAAGTGTCCAAAGATTGAAACCTCAGACTTTAAAACCTTTACTGTTGGTAACGTGATAAAAGCAGAAAAGGGACAAACTTTCTGCACTTTATTCCAACAGAAGCCTTCGTTATGGAAACGATGCACCGATGCGGACATTTGGGCCCCGATGGACGTCTGCTGATATTATTGCTACAGTTAATATCAGGTGGAAAACAACCACACGTTGCTGCATCGCCGTCACATGACCACATTTATTTCTGAATTAAGGTTTAAGTTTGCTCTGAGGTTTATTTTTAGTTTCTTTGTGTTGTGTTTCATTGTAGTTGATTTCTAGATCTTCTTTAGTTACTCTCTGTCGCCCCCTTGTGCTCATTTCCTTTCCCTTGGCTTCCTCAGGTGGTCTTTCCCACACCTGCTCCCAATCTGCTGATAAGCCTGTCTTGGTTCAGTCTCTGCAGTCACTCAGTGCTGGTTTGTTGTTTAGTTGCTTCCTCTTCTCTGGTTTCCCATGTGAGTTTCTCTGATGTTTTCTAGTTGTTTAGTTGTTGTATTTTTTATTGTGTCTCAGTTTTGTCATTAAATCTTCAAGTTTCACCTCTGCCTCCTGGTCTCTGCATTTAGGTCCTCACAAGCCTCCGCTGATCAACCTCCGCTGATGAATCCCTCATTCCTCGTCTGGTAGGTTCAGACGGAGACGCTGCAGGAAATGATTCCTCTAACTAACCTTCCTTCATCAGGTCGACCATGTTTCAGTGGAACATCAGCAGGACTTTCTCCTGACATCATCAGGAAGCAGCGGGGGATCAGTTTTGATCGTTACTGATAATTGAAGGGATGATTCCAGCACTTTACGCTCCCCCGATGCTTTCCTCTAACTTACTGACGCGTCCCATAACCTGCTGAGATTACATCCAGTGAGTACGCTGCAGAGTTTGAGGATTCTGGTCAGAGAAGCAGCTTCATTACAGCCTGCGCCCCCCCTCCTGGGGGAGGTCATAATGAGACCAAACAGCTAATTAAAGGCCATGCTGTTTACATCTATTCTGTCTGAGCCACAGAAAAGCTCAGAAGTTCAGCCTCCGTTATACAGGTCTAGAAGAACAAACGATGATCCATTATCGCTGTTTTCTCTTTATCAAAATAACAAACAAGCATTTTGATCTGATTAAAAGAAAAGCAGAAAAATAAAATGTTATTTTTATTCCTTGTCTTCTGGTGGTTTCTGTGTTTTCAGTTCAGTGAATTCTTTATTAATCCTGATCTGAAAGTGACATCTTTAATCAGAGCAGAATGTTGGTGGATGAATGTTGATAATCCTGCAGGTTCCTGAGAAATATTTATTATTTGATATCAATTATTTAACCTGCTGCATTAGGAATATTTAATGGAGCTGGTGTTTCTGAATAAAGAAGAAAAACTGCTTTCATCCATGTGGAGCAGAGCAGCTGGTTTCCAGCCTCCAGAGGCTCCCAGGAATCATCCAGAAGCAGAAGGTCATCATGAGGCAGTAGATCCCATAAATCCATTTGTTCTGATCCAGTTTGGATCCTGGGAGGTTCTAAATCAGGCATCCCCAAAGTCGGTCCTCGAGGGCCACCGTCCTGCAGGTTTTAGAGGTTTCTCTCCAGCACAGCTGATTTACATTGATAATTGATTAACAGGCTTTTGCTGAACTGCAGTCATCAGAATCAGCTGTGCTAAAGCAGGGAAACCTCTAAAACCTGCAGGACAGCGGGCCTCGAGGACCGACTTTGGGGATGCCTGTTCTAAATGTTTCAGGATGTTTTCCACTGAAGGAGGAAAACGGAACCTGGACCCGAAGGCTCTTTAGACCAGCAGCTGTTGGACCGGAACCACAGGAACCAGAACCTGATCATAAAACCAAGCACTCATCTGGATCCTGTCTCCTGAACTTAACTCCCTCTGGTCGCGCGCCTGCAGGGTGAGCGCGCGCCTGTGGGTTTCCAGCTGTGAGCTCGTGCGCGCCTGCAGGCTGAGCGCGCGCCTGTGGGTTTCCAGCTGTGAGCTCGTGCCCGCCTGCAGGCTGAGCGCGCGCCTGTGGGTTTCCAGCTGTGAGCTCGTGCGCGCCTGCAGGCTGAGCGCGCGCCTGTGGGTTTCCAGCTGTGAGCTCGTGCCCGCCTGCAGGCTGAGCGCGCGCCTGTGGGTTTCCAGCTGTGAGCTCGTGCGGCTGACTGTTAGTTTCTGTTCGGTTCGTGTCGGACTGCTTCGTTCTTTGGTGCCTTTTTCTTTAGGTTCGGACCCAGCCTGTCCTCCCGGAAGCTGCGCTCCTTCCTCCGGACCCAAAGCTCAGGGTTCCTCGGTGGTTCTGGACCTTCATCCAGGAGGCGCTGCGGCTCCAATGATGCGCTGGACTGTCCCGGTTCTGCTGACGGTTCTGTTCGCTCAGCTGTCGGCTGCTGATCCGGACACCGGAGCGGAAGATCAAGGTAACCGAACCGAACCGGACCGGTGGGTTAATTAACGGTTAATTACGGTCATTTCTGAAAGTTCAACTGAGGTTGGAATTAAAAAGATTTTTTAATTAATAAAATGAAATCTTATATTTTATTTATTCTTTTTGTTCACACAAGTGGAAACAAGAAAAAGTTCTTAAAGTGCAGCTCTAGGTTTTTCTCTAGCCTGGTGAAAAAAGAAAGTGATGTGAATATAGACTATAGTTACAGTTCCAACAATCAGGGTTTTTAATTTAATAGAAATGTTAAAAATTATCTACAAGTTTTAAACAAAACAGATTTACATCATTTTGGTTTAAAGAGAGAATCAAAGGATCAGATGTGTCTAGATCCCATCAAGTATTCAGGTTAAGACTAGACTCACCTTGATGGGATGAATGGAGTCTGGTGTGCTACTGCTTGGGTGGAAAGAAAACCAGCAGCCGCACGGCCCTTTCTGGAACTAGTTTGATACCTGTGGCCTACAGGTAACGCCCCCCCCCCCCCCCCCCACCCCCCCCCCCCCTGGCTCTGTCTATAGTTCAGGTGTCACAGCTAAATATAAAGAAGGCCCCAGAAGTGAACCTTGAGGGACACCATATTTGATTTTTTTATTTCCGCACTAAAACCAAGTTACACAAGAGAGAGGCAACCTGCCATCTCCACTTTCCACCCAAAGGTTGTGATTTATCAAATGTGCAGCTGGTGACTGAGGGGAAGCAAAGCCAGACTGCATCATATGAAATTATAGATCTACTTTATCAGATCTAAACCACAGTGTGATCTATGCCGGCACTAACAGCTCCAATTCGCACATAACCAGAAGAAGCCGGCTCAGATTTAGAGTCCTCACATATTTCATTCTATTCAGTTTATTTCTATAGCTCCAATTCACACCCTGTCATCTCAGGTCACTTTATAGATCCAGATCATCCAGTCAGATTGATTCAAAGTTTTCTATCTAAGGAAAACCAGCTGATTGCATCGACTCATTGACTCTTCAGCAATCCCTCACACTAAGCACGCTTGTAGCGATAGTGGAGAGGAAAAACTCCCTTTGAACAGGAAGAAACCTCCAGCAGAACCAGGCTCAGTGTGAGCGGCCATCTGCTGAGGCCCACTGGGGTTCAAGGAGACAGAAGCAGACATAGAAAAAGAAGCATAGATACAAAAGGCAACTGTCAACCAGCTCCACAGGCGGCCCCGTCCAGGAAACACACAGCTGGATGAAAATATTTAGATCTTTATTACTTCCTCTTTCATTAATGTTTGCATTTATTCCTAAAAATTTTCCTCATTTGCTCACAGAGAAAGTTTTCAGCTTTGGAGTGATGCATTCCATTTAATTAATAAGAAGTGGGTTTGCAGGAAAATTGTGTGGATGGCTGAAGATCAGGGCTACTCCCAGGAGACTTTATGTTAACAGCGACATGAAGTCTATATAAAAGTGACTGAGGCATTCCAGTCCACCAGTTAAAACCGCTAAAAGAATGGCTGTTATTTCTCCAGCTCAGAGTTGGTCCAAATACGTCACCATCACAGCTCTGGAAACTGGGTGCAGCATTTAGCTGAATCAGCTGCTTTCTGTTTCCACGGATACGAAACTGTGTGTCAGACAGACGGGATCCGATAATTAGATCCAGAAACTCAGGGAGCCTGATCCCCGTCTGTTAGGCAGGGATTATGTTACAGAAAAGCTCCTGGAAAATGATTTCCTAAAGGGAGGAAAAACTGTTAGCGCCAGATGTCTGGGCTGTGTTTCATTTCCTGACGGCCTAACCACCTGAAAAGTTTCCCTCTTTGGATTTCTAAAATCTGTCAGCTGCAGATGTAACATTAAAATGTGTTTAAAGGTTATTTCCTGCAGGGCAGGACATAGGGAGCCGAGTCCCACTGTTCTTCTTCAGGTTGAAAACTTGCTGCATTACGAAGGAAACCAGCTGCATTACGAAGGAAACCTGCTGCATTACGAAGGAAACCAGCTGCATCAGGAGGGAAACCAGCTGCATCAGGAAGGAAACCAGCTGCATTAGGAAGGAAACCAGCTGCATCAGGAAGGAAACCAGCTGCATTAGGAAGGAAACCAGCTGCATCAGGAAGGAAACCAGCTGCATCAGGAAGGAAACCAGCTGCATTAGGAAGGAAACCAGCTGCATCAGGAAGGAAACCAGCTGCATCAGGAAGGAAACCAGCTGCATTAGGAAGGAAACCAGCTGCATCAGGAGGGAAACCAGCTGCATTAGGAAGGAAACCAGCTGCATTAGGAAGGAAACCTGCTGCATTAGGAAGGACACCAGCTGCATCAGGAAGGAAACCAGCTGCATCAGGAAGGAAACCAGCTGCATCAGGAAGGAAACCAGCTGCATCAGGAAGGAAACCAGCTGCATCAGGAAGGAAACCAGCTGCATCAGGAAGGAAACCAGCTGCATTAGGAAGGAAACCAGCTGCATCAGGAAGGAAACCAGCTGCATTACGAAGGAAACCAGCTGCATTACGCAGGAAACCAGCTGCATTAGGAAGGAAACCAGCTGCATCAGGAAGGAAACCAGCTGCATCAGGAAGGAAACCAGCTGCATCAGGAAGGAAACCAGCTGCATCAGGAGGGAAACCAGCTGCATTAGGAAGGAAACCAGCTGCATCAGGAAGGAAACCAGCTGCATTACGCAGGAAACCAGCTGCATTAGGAAGGAAACCAGCTGCATTAGGAAGGAAACCAGCTGCATCAGGAAGGAAACCAGCTGCATCAGGAAGGAAACCAGCTGCATCAGGAAGGAAACCAGCTGCATCAGGAAGGAAACCAGCTGCATCAGGAAGGAAACCAGCTGCATCAGGAAGGAAACCAGCTGCATTAGGAAGGAAACCAGCTGCATCAGGAAGGAAACCAGCTGCATCAGGAGGGAAACCAGCTGCATCAGGAAGGAAACCAGCTGCATCAGGAAGGAAACCTGCTGCATTAGGAAGGAAACCAGCTGCATCAGGAAGGAAACCAGCTGCATTAGGAAGGAAACCTGCTGCATCAGGAAGGAAACCAGCTGCATTAGGAAGGAAACCTGCTGTATTAGGAAGGAAACCAGCTGCATTAGGAAGGAAACCAGCTGCATCAGGAAGGAAACCAGCTGCATTAGGAAGGAAACCAGCTGCATCAGGAAGGAAACCAGCTGCATTACGAAGGAAACCAGCTGCATCAGGAAGGAAACCAGCTGCATCAGGAAGGAAACCAGCTGCATCAGGAAGGAAACCAGCTGCATCAGGAAGGAAACCAGCTGCATCAGGAAGGAAACCAGCTGCATCAGGAAGGAAACCAGCTGCATTACGCAGGAAACCAGCTGCATTACGCAGGAAACCAGCTGCATCAGGAAGGAAACCAGCTGCATCAGGAAGGAAACCAGCTGCATCAGGAAGGAAACCAGCTGCATCAGGAGGGAAACCAGCTGCATTAGGAAGGAAACCAGCTGCATCAGGAAGGAAACCAGCTGCATTAGGAAGGAAACCAGCTGCATCAGGAAGGAAACCAGCTGCATCAGGAGGGAAACCAGCTGCATCAGGAAGGAAACCAGCTGCATCAGGAAGGAAACCAGCTGCATTAGGAAGGAAACCAGCTGCATCAGGAAGGAAACCAGCTGCATTAGGAAGGAAACCAGCTGCATCAGGAAGGAAACCAGCTGCATCAGGAGGGAAACCAGCTGCATCAGGAAGGAAACCAGCTGCATTACGAAGGAAACCAGCTGCATTAGGAAGGAAACCAGCTGCATCAGGAAGGAAACCAGCTGCATTACGCAGGAAACCAGCTGCATTACGCAGGAAACCAGCTGCATCAGGAAGGAAACCAGCTGCATCAGGAAGGAAACCAGCTGCATCAGGAGGGAAACCAGCTGCATTAGGAAGGAAACCAGCTGCATCAGGAAGGAAACCAGCTGCATTAGGAAGGAAACCAGCTGCATCAGGAAGGAAACCAGCTGCATCAGGAAGGAAACCAGCTGCATCAGGAAGGAAACCAGCTGCATCAGGAGGGAAACCAGCTGCATTAGGAAGGAAACCAGCTGCATCAGGAAGGAAACCAGCTGCATCAGGAAGGAAACCAGCTGCATTAGGAAGGAAACCAGCTGCATCAGGAAGGAAACCAGCTGCATCAGGAGGGAAACCAGCTGCATCAGGAGGGAAACCAGCTGCATCAGGAAGGAAACCAGCTGCATCAGGAAGGAAACCAGCTGCATCAGGAGGGAAACCAGCTGCATCAGGAAGGAAACCAGCTGCATCAGGAAGGAAACCAGCTGCATCAGGAGGGAAACCAGCTGCATCAGGAGGGAAACCAGCTGCATCAGGAAGGAAACCAGCTGCATCAGGAAGGAAACCAGCTGCATTAGGAAGGAAACCTGCTGCAATCCTGCCTAATTTGGCTGAAAATGTTTTAATCTAGGATAGAAGCCTGTTGAATTAAAACTTGATGATTTAGGTATAAATCCTGCTGAATTTGGCTTAAAATGTGTTAAACCTAATTCAGCAGCTTTTCATGCTAATCAAAATGCTCTTTTCTAGTTTCACACATTTCCAGCCAAATTCAGCATGATATAAATCCTGTGGCTGAATACGTGTTTAGCTAGGATAGAACCAGTTCAATACCTGTTAAACTAGGTTTTAAACCTAAATTGTCGAGTTTAACAAGTTGCTGATTTAGGTTTAAATGGTGCTGAATTTGCCTGAAAATGTGTTAAACTGAGATAGAAGCTGGTTGAATTGGGATGTTTTCACTACATCGGTTAACAGAGTTAGTATTAGAATAAAGTCTGGGGGTTACCAAGCTCAACAATTCATCCCTTGTAGAATGAGAAGCGTTGTTATTGACTGCTCAGTGTCTGTAACCTGAGACCCTCCTGATTGGTTGATGCCATGTATCCATGTCCTCCTGCCAGTGATCGACGTGCTGAGCCTGCATGACTCCAAGCAAAGCGTTGCAGCAGTGCAGAAGCTGTCAGGGAGTCTGAGCGCGCTCAGTGACATCTATGTGGTGTCGACGTTCCGTCTGCCGGTGAAGATGGGCGGAGTTCTGTTCGGACTCTACAGCAAACAGGACAACAGGAAGTACCTGGAGGTGGCCATCATGGGGAAGATCAACAAAGGTTGGTGGGAATGTAGCGCCTCGCTGCGATGGCTTTAGTCCTTAGTTTGAAACTGCAGGAAATCTCAGTTTTCCACACATCCTGAATGAGTGCGGAGGGGGGGGGTCGGCATCATTAAACTTTTCCTGTTTTATTTATTGATAATAAAAAACACAAAAAAATCTGGATGTAACGAAACATAAACTGCTCTTTTTATCCTTTTTCTCCACCTCTAAACCATCTGTATTAGTACTTGATGTCTTAAAGCCAAACTAATGTTCCTGCTGGACAGAATCTTGGCCGCATGTCTTGTTTTTCTGCTTCCTCCTGCAGTGAGCTGCCAGCAGGCGCCTCCCTCAGACTGTTTATTCTTTATACTGTTTCCATGAAGTCTGTTGCATCCCTTAATCCCTCCTCAACATGAACCATTCCTCTGTTCCTCTCCATAAAATGCACCTCGTTTAAAGTAAAGGAAATGAGAACTGGAATCCTTTCAGTTTCTGAGGAGGGTTTTCCTCAGTGAGTGCAGAAAGCAGGTTAACAGCTGGAAGTCTCCTCCTCTTCCTCAGTCCTGCTGCGGTACGTCAAGGCTGACGGGAAGATCCACACTGTGAACCTGCAACACTCCAACCTGGCTGACGGACGCACTCACTCCATCATGGTGAGACTCGGTGGCCTCCGGCGCAGCAGCATGCAGGTGGAGCTGTATGCTGACTGCCGATTGGTCGACTCCAGTGAGGGCGCTCCCCCATTGGTTCCTCTACCCAGAGAGGCGGAGATGGTGGAGATCCGACACGGACAGAAGTCGTACAGCCGACTGCAGGTTAGAGGGAACCACCAGTGTTGGGAAAGTTCTCTTTCTACGTGAACTAGTTCAAAGTTCAGTTCACACATTTTAAAATGAACTAGTTCAGTTCATAGTTCATAATTCAAAATTTTGAACTAAGTTCACAGTAAGTTCAAAATGAAATAGTTCATAGTTCTTTTTTTTTCATGTATTGCTCAATTACACCATAGCCTACTGTAGAACCACAGACAGCAATTATTTTATCAGTTGTAACTCTGAAACTGTGCGTCAGATTTCATCTTCATATCCAGTTTTGAATCCTTATCCAACCAGGGTTTACATTAGCATTGAGGGGACAGCATTTCCCCATTGTTGCTTTAACGCTTTGTTGCTGTCCATTCACTTCACACTAGTAGCAGCTGCAGCTTTCACCCCTACAGTATATTCTCAAAAACATCAGGAAAAATGTGCTGCTTGAATGGTCTTTTTTATGAGTAATTATTAAAAGAAAAACAGGAAAGTAGTCTTTAAGGAGCAAATGTTTTTTTAATTTTAATAATTTTTTCAATTTGAAATTCCATTTCAGTACATACTAAAAAGAAATCCTGGAAAATTATACCAGGCAGGTTTAACAAACAAGTTACACAAATAGTAAAACCCTCAAGAACATTTTACTAACACAAACTGAGGGACCAGGCTGAGGTAGGAATTTAAGGTTACTGAAGTGCAGATTTTTCTACTGAAAGCCGGCGGGCAAAGTTTGCAGAGAAATGTCAGATTGTTGCCATCATCCTCACCGACCACCTGGTCATAAAACTGTTTTAAGTGATCATACTGCTGCTTTGTCGCCTCCACGGTCGCCTCCATGCTGCTGTAGCTTCCACGCTGCATTTTTTTTTCTGACGCACGCGGCTGTAGGCTACGACGCTGGTAGCTGGTGTTGCCAGATTGGGTGTTTTTCCCGCTACATATTAAGGCCTGTTTACGGTGTGATTTAGCCGGGGTTTCGCCTGGAGGGCTTTATAGAAATCTGGCAACCTATTGAACGGAGCTGAACTGAGAGAGCGTGCCGTTCACAGACACCAGAATGAACGAGTTCACAACAACGTTCACCAGGCAGTAATGCAGTACGTTCAGTTCACGTTCGCCCAAAATATGAACGAGTTCATGAACTTTGGTTCAATGAACGCGTTCAGGCACAACACTGGGAACCAAGACTCACTTTTAGACACACAAAAAAACCTAGAAAACTGAAAGAACTTTGAATTGAACTTTATTTCAGGAGAAACTTAACCTTTATTGTTTATTGAGGGCTGAAACAGCTCAGAGTCTTTCAGCGTAAAAACTGAAACAAGAACAAAACAAACTTGTAACAGAAATTAGGAAAAGATCCATTTAGGATGCAAGAGGAGCAGAAGGTGCTGCATCCTGCAGATCCTGTAAAAACTCCCATAAAACATTGTTTGCTTTCTATTTATTTCCGATTGATAGAAATTGCCGGCAGTAAGTCAGACCTGTTCCTGATGCATGCTGGTCTCCTCCAGGGCTGCCCTGCAGCCAGGGACCGGAGGGTGTCCGGTTCAGGAACCTCAGGATATCCTCTCTATTTGCAGATGATGTTGTCCTGTTGGCCTCATCAAACCAGGACCTCCAATGTGCAGTGGGGGCGGTTTACAGCCAGGTGTGGGGGGGCTAGGATGAGAATCAGCGCCTCTAAATCTAAGGCCATGGTTCCCCACCGGAGAAAGGTGGACTCCTCTCTGCAGGTCGGTGGAGAGTCCTTGTCTCAAGTCGAGGAGTTCAAGTTTCTCGGGGTCTTGTTCAGGAGTGAGGGACAGATGGAGCATGAGATCGATAGATGGATCGGCATGACAGTGATGCGGTCGCTGTATCGGACTGTAGTGGTGAAGAGGGAGCTGAGTCGGGGGGGCAAAGCTCTGGATTTACCGATGGATCTACGTTCCCACCCTCACCTATGGTCAGGAGATCTGGATAATGACCCAAAGGACAAGATCGCAAATACAAGCGGCCGAAATGAGTTCCCTTCGCTGGGCGCACCCTTCCAGATCGGATGAGGAGCTCAGTTACCCGGGAGGAGCTTGGAGTAGAGTCGCTGCTCCTCCACGTGGAAAGGAGCCAGCTGAGGAGGATCGGGCATCTGTTCCTGATGCCTCCTGGTTGCCTCCCTCAGGAGGTGTTCCAGGCATGTCCCATCGGGAGGAGGCCTGGTGGAAGGACCAGGACACACTGGAGGGACGATGTCTCTAAGCTGACCTGGTGTCGCCTCACCGTCCCCCCCAGAGCAGCTGGAGGAGGGAAGTCTGAGTATCTCTGCTTAGACTGCTGCCTCCGCGACCTGACCTGACCCAGATAAAGAGGAAGAATGGATGGATAATAGATAATAATGAAAGGATTAACATCATGTTGCTAGTTTACTACTGAAGCATCGCTGATACTGCAGATGTCATCATCATCACCAATATGCTGCAGGTGATCTAAAACATAATCAGCTGATCTGATTGAGTTTAGAGGCAGATGTTGAGGCTTGGAGTTTGATTAGTTTAGACGTGTTTTTTCTTTCCGTGATAAAAACTAACTGGCAGGCGTCCCAGACGACGGTCTTATTCATGGATTCATTCATATTCAGGATGTCCAGCAGGAGACGTGCGTCTCTGTCTGTCTCATGGTCCCTCTCTCTGTCAGGGTGCTGTGGAGTCCCTCCGCCTGGCTCTAGGGGGCACCGTTGCTAGGGCGGGTGCTCTGACCGACTGTCCATTCCAAGGAGACGCATCAGCCTACAACTCAGGTGAGCTCACCTGGATCTCTGCAGAGTTCCTCTGTGGTGTGATTCTGACCCGGATGGTTTGTTTCCTCAGTGAACGGCGAGCTCCAGTCCATCCTAGGTGAGGGTTTCCACCACTTCTTCTGCTCTGATCACTGTTCAGCCTGGTCTCTGATTGGACATCATGTTTGTGACATCATCATCCGTCAGGTGAACACACCAAGGCTCTGATTGGTCAGCTCATCATCTTCAACCAGATCCTTGGAGAACTGCGGCAGGACATCAGAGAGCAGGTGAGACAGGGACTGGTACCGTGGCCAAGCCTGCCCTGAGGCATGCTGGGTAAAGAGGGAGGGTTGTTCTCAGTAGTGCTGAGGCCGATGATGTTTCACCAACGCACCAGAAAGCACAAGTACGAAACAACCGTAGCTAACCTGTCCTTGTCCTCAGGTGAAGGAGATGTCTCTGATCAGGAACACCATCCTGGAGTGTCAGGTTTGTGGTGAGTCAGCTGCTCTGTGGACGTCTCACAGCGACCCGTCTCAGCCCTGAGCAGTCTGTCCCTGTCTGTCCCCGTCTGTCCCTCTGTCTCCATCCATCTGCAGGATTCCATGAACCACAGTCCCGCTGCTCTCCAAACCCGTGCTTTAAAGGTGTCCCCTGCATGGACAGCCTGCATTACCCTGGCTTCACCTGCGGACCCTGTCCCCCTGGAACCAACGGTAATGGGACGCACTGCAGGGACGTCGATGAGGTAATGTCCGGACGCCATCAAACAGTCAGCTGGTGATGGACGCTGCATGTGGACTCCTTCCTGTGTCTCGTCCTTAGTGTGAGCTGCAGCCTTGTCATTCTCCTGATGCCTGTGTGAACACCGTGGGGGGCTTCAGCTGCAAACCGTGTCCTCCGGGCCTGTGGGGGGCGCCGCTGGCTGGAACTGGACTGGACTACGCCAAGACACACAAACAGGTCTCTCGCAGAAAGCTGCCAGTGTAGACAGAGTGTTCAGCCGTCACAATGTCGCAGAAAACCGGTTAGAGAGGGCGACTGTGAACGCAGCTCGTCAGATTCCAACCATCAGCTGATGGTTCATGACTTTAGCTTTAAAATGCTCCTCAGATGACATCATCATCACATGACCCAGAGGGGAGGAATGTGTCTGATGTGAGCAGATATGAGCGCAGGGCGGCGGCGGCGGGCTGCAGCTGGAAAGCATTACAGCCTCTGATACTCAGAGAGCTTCCAGCTGTGCAGCAACCAGCCGACCCTCCTCATCTGGAGCTCGTCAGGTTTCACCACCTCCCCTGAGATGCCATGAATGTCCTGCTTTTGTTTAGAGAAGCAGTCAGGCGGGTCTGTAACCTCCACAGTCTTTGGTTCTGCCTGTAAAACAGGAACATGTAGATTTGATCACCTGAAATGTTTCTGTAAGTTTTTATCCAATCAGGAATCAGTTTGATTAAACGCAGAAGATGATGACCTGGTTTTCCTGGATGTTCTGTGACTCGGCCGGTTCTCTGACTCGGCCCCTTCTGTGACTCGGCCCCTTCTGTGACTCGGCCCGTTCTCTGACTCGGCCCGTTCTGTG